GTAAAATAAATAGTTAGTGTGAACTGAACGATGCCAAAATGTTTGGGTTAAAATAGTTTTGGCCTTGATCTATAGGGAGCAGACTGGGTCTGGACAAAAGAAATACACAGACATCTTTGGGTGCAGTGTGGCCTTCTAATGAATGCAAAGAGATGTTTAAACCCAGCACACAGAGAGCTTAATGCATGTGCATTGAATGAATTAGGGCCAGTCTGTCCAATAACACAGGTACCAATTGTATAAAAGTTTCAACAGTATCTGTTTTAAAGAAAACCACCACCAACCTCATCATGGGCATAATGACAGAATTATTGGAAACAGAGATCCAACATTAAATAATTTCTTGAGACTTGGGAATAAATAAATTAAAACAGAGATTGCCTGAAAAGATGAAGACCTGAAGATCATGCTCCCTCCTAAGTACTGGGGCATTATGGGTGTACTCTGCAGGAAGAAAAACTTTATTTTTTACTTTTTAAAATCTAGCTTGATTTTAATATAGTTAATATAAGTTAATTAATGAAGTACCAGTATATGTTTCTAATGCTCCCGTTCGAATCAACTGCATTTTATACACAATGATAATATTTAATGCTTTCAAAGTCGTCTAAAGAAATTAAAAGGACTCAGAGATATCTAAATGGCAACTATCCAACACTTAAAGTGAGGTATAAAGTGGGTTTGAGGTGTTCTAAGTCACTGGCATAACCGGAAAACTAGATCTTTTAACAAGTGGATCTTCGTCAAGGGCAAAAACGAGACAGTGTTGGAAGTCATGAGAATCTATCATTCCAAGTTAGCAACATGAGACAAATGCTCCTAAATGTGCTGAGAGCTCCCCAGTTTTCAGGGAGGAGGGAGGGGGAATACACAACAAAAAGCAGAACAAAATAACAAGCCCCAGCTCAGGTCTCAGATGATGGTGTTATTTAGTTTAGTGGAGGCAGCACCAGGGGGGATGAGTGGATGGTTCCCAGCCTGAGGCCACGGGACACTCATGGGACCACAAAGGGAGCCTAGAAAAGATTCCAACTATTTCCAAAAGGCTAAATAAAAGCGTACATTATTTCTACAAGGAACAGTAAACCCACTAAAATGCCTAAATTGTTTGCTTTAGGTTGGAGTATTAACTCAATGTAGCAAAACAAATGTACTCATGTTAATCAGTAGCTCTAGCTGGGGAAACATTACATAGTAAACATCCCTTTTTTTAAAAAAATGAAATCTTAAGACATGGTATATACGGTGAATGGAAGAGATGGTTCTCAGTGATGGAAAAAGTGGAGCACCAGTGTATTAATTAAATCCTATAAAAACAAAATACAAGGAAAAGCCCAAAAGGCATTATCTTCTAATAAATACAAACATCTTTTTTTCTTTCCATCTTTTTGAAATTAGGCAGAATGATGACTAGGGTAAATTGAATAAAAGTGGATAATTTTAATATTACAACTATGTGTCTATTTCAACAAAATGAGAGAGGGAGGAGAATACTTGAAGCAGTAATTACTCTGATAGAAAAATTACATTTAAAAACTATTAACAAAAGGTAAGTTTTTCTTTTTGTGTATACATGGTTTTGGATTCATTTTTACCATGTTACTACTACTCTATTAATGTTACCTAAGTGTCCACAAGATTACTGAAAGAGAAAGAGAAAGAGAAAATGCAAATCAATTATAATATATTGGGAAAATAATGAAAGAGTAGAAATACATACCAACCCATACAGCATTTCATACAGTACAGCACCAAGGCACCACCAATCTACAGTATTGTCATAGGGCTGTTTTCTGATCACTTCAGGTGCTAGGTACTACAGAAAAGATGAAATATCAGTGCAACTCAATAAACAAAACTAAGTTTGGAAATAATTGAGAAATTTAACAAATTTTAGGTATTACTATTATGCTAAAAACATATCTAGATTTTAAAATTGGGTATTTCCATTTTCATTCCAATTTTCATTTTATACTAGTGATTCTTCAAAATCCATTGGGACATTTTTCAAAATACACATACTCAAACATTTCCCCAGAAACTGTGATGCAGTTAAGACAAACAGAAAAGGGCAGCGAATGTAGAAACTGTAATACAAAGTAGGTACTTTGCGTGTGTGGGAGGAGGGGAAGAGGAGGAAATCTTTTACAAGATTAATTTATCTTAAAAATTCCTCTGGCCCTAACCGGTTTGGCTCAGTGGATAGAATATTGGCCTGTGGACTCAAGGGTCCCAGGTACGATTCCGGTCAAGGGCATGTACCTGGGTTGCGAGCACATACCCAGTGGGGAGTGTGCAGGAGGCATTAATGTTTCTCTCATTGATGTTTCTAACTCTCTATCCCTCTCCATTGCTCTCTGTAAAAAATCAATAAAATATATTTTTAAAAAAATTTTCTGGTCATTACTCATAATTGTTTCTCCCAAAGAAAGGATTACTAATGTGGCAATTATAATTCTTTTTTTTTTTTCAATGAAAGAAAAAGAATGAATTGCATTCTTCTTAGGAAATTACAACTGTAATTCTCTAACATATTATTTACAAATGTTTAAGTTACCACACAGCTATTTACACTTTAACTTATAAAATACTTAAACTCATAACCACTTCACAAATATAAGATGGTTAATTTGAATTTCAGATTCCAAAAAATATTTTTTCCTTTTCCATATGAAATAAGGAAATGATTTCTTCTTAAGCTTTTTCATATGCTAAAAAAAATGGCAAAATAAATTGAAAGGAGGTTTAATAATTTCTGACCACATTAAAACTTAGATGACAAAAGAACTTGTTCCTTTCTAAAACCTACAGGACTTAAAGATTTTGTTAACTATGTGATCAATATACATTCACAAAAAAATGTTTCTTCAGACATAAACCAAAATAGAATGGTTACAATAAACAAGAACAAGGTTAGATTATAGAAAGGAAGAAAAAAAAATACATTTTAAAGTAAATATTGTTGCTTACAGCTACTTTTAATTACGTTTCTGATCTTGATTACAAGTGTCATGTGAGCTAGTCTATCACACATTTTTAACAATATCTGCTATTATTCGGCAATAATGATGAAATACTACCTGGCACCTAAGATCACTATAAATACACTAAAATTTGTGTGTGTGTGTGTGTGTGTGTGTGTGTGTGTGTGTGTGAGAGAGAGAGAGAGAGAGAGAGAGAAAGAATAAGAAAGCTTTAACATAAATTGTAAGGACTATTATTTCGAATAGAAAGATACATTTCTGCTAGCTAATATGCTTAGAGAATGGAATGTTTGGGTTAATAAATTCTGATTTATGAATTTCCCCCCCACATCCTCTGTCTTATTTTCTTCAGTTAAATAAACACTTAATTTTATTATAAAATATTTTAACCATACATAAAAATAGAAAATATAATAGAAACCAATAAAACTTTCACCTAAATTAGGCAATGCCAATCTCTTGCCATATTTGCTTCAGCTTATTTTTAAAAGAGCTTTATTAAGATATTCACAAACCATGCAATTTCCCCATTTGAAGTGTACAATTCAATGGTTTTTAATATATTTAGAGTTGTGCAAACATTATCACAATTTTAGGATAGTTTCATCACTGATTTGTGATTTTATCTTGAAGCATTAGAAGTAAAAATCAAATGCTTAAAGAAGTCTAAGGTAGCCCTAGCCAGTTTGGCTCAGTGGATAGAGCGTTGGCCTGTGGACCAAAGGGCTCTGGGTTCGATTCCAGTCAAGGGCTCCTTCAAGGCCCAGGTGCTGGTCGGGGCACATGGAGGAGGCAACCAATCAATGTGTTTCTCTCACATCGATGTTTCTCTCTGTCTTTCCCTCTCTCTTCCACTCTCCCTAAAAATCAATGGAAAAATATCCTGGGGTGAAGAGTAACATAAAAGGAAGTCTAAGTTAAACAATAAAAACAAGCATAATTTATATCTTTGGTGGGTTATCTGGTGGTGGTATCGCACTATCACAGTTAAAAATACCAACTATCAATAAACTTTATTCAGAAGTAATGATTATCAGATATTTCCAATTGGCAGAAGCTAAAATGACAGGTTTTATTCTAGTTTTCTGATTTCAAATTTTGCATATGCAATTTGTGATTCATCTCTTCATTTTATACATGATTATGTGAATGACAAATGAGACACCCTTCTTACCTCTGGTGTTCCACAAAATGTCGTTGTGGTATCAGAAATAGCAATTCCTTCTTTACAAAGCCCAAAATCTGTTAAGACAACATGTCCCTGAGAAATAGAAGGACAATAAGATAAAACAATGCATGAACATAAACGGACAATTTCAAAAAACCATTTTATTTTGAAATAATGATAGACCCACAGGTAAACTGCAGAAATAATACACTGAGTTCCATGTACCCCTCACCCAGCATCCCCCAATGCTGGCACCTCATATAACTGTACTACAATATCAAAACTGGGAAACTGGCATTGATAGAATATTAACCAGACTGCCAACCTTATTCAGTTTTCACTATTTCGTAATGCATGCATTTGTGTATGTGTAGTTCTATGTCATAGAGATGTACACATTCGTGTATCTACCACCACAATCAGGCATCCATCAATCCCAAAGGAACAAAGGAATCCCTGGTGCTATCCCTTTATGCTTGCACTCCACTATCTCCTCGATCCCTGTGCCCTTGCACCCACTAATCTGATCTCCATCTCTATAGTTTTGTCATTGCAAACATGTTATATAAAATGGAATCAAGCAGTGTTGAATCTTTGCGGCTGGCTTTTTTCCACTACGCCTAAAAACAACAAAAACTGAGAAATAGTAGATTTTTAAAAGACAATACTTACTACAGAATCCAGAAGAATATTTTCCGGTTTCAAGTCTCTATCAAATTAAAAGGAAAGAAAAGCAAACGTGACTATTAGCCGAAATAAAATGAGAAGAAGACATTTTTTATAAGTAATATTTAAAAAATTCACCTGTACACTATTTTGATGGAGTGCAAGTAACCCAATGCGCTGGCGATTTCAGCAGCATAAAACCTTGCTCTGTGTTCAGGAAAGGACCGCTCTCTTTGTAAGTGAAAAAACAGCTGTAAAATTAAGATCATTCACAGAGTGAAATAAATATGTTCTATAAATATAAAAATAGGGCTTGTTTTTGTTACTTTGGTGTTACTTTGCACCAAAGCACAGAACTGTGACTCTCCCTTGTGTGTGCCCCCAACTTAGCAATCACGGTCTCTCCTCAACCACACATCTTTCATTACCCTGCTAACTTACTCATCTCCCATTTACCCGTCAATCCTCAATGTGGCACTGTCCTCACCACTCCAGGCAACCACTCTGGAAAAGATCACCAGTGCAGACCAATGATCTTGACCTTGCCATGTACTTACAGTAGCTTACTGGACCTATTTTGACTGTTCTTCCCTTTGGAAAAACACCAAACACTCTTCAGAGACTGTAAACTAGTGGTTAGCAGACCAAATAGAACCCACAGATATAATTTGTTTGAGCCAAATACTGTTTTTAGAAAAATCTAAATTAAATAGTAACATATAAAAACTAGAAAAAGTTTTTGGTAAAAATTGGTTTCTTTTGAATGTGATAGCAAATGGCTAGAGCTAAGCAGTAGCTGCACTCTCCAGTTCATTTCTTATACTTCCCAATTCTGAATTTATTTTTATAACCCGTCTATCCTTTACTCTTTAGGTTACCTGCCTGGGTAAAGTTTGCTCAACTTACTCTACGTTTCTTGGCTTCTAAGACAATGATCTGAGATAATTATCTCTCCCTAGATCTTCTACCTCTTGGAGAGTTCTATTTCCTCTCCTTTCTGGCTCCTTAACTGCAGGGATTAACAAGGTTTCTCTGTCCTGGGTTTCTCCACTGTTATTCTTTGTATGCATACCATCCAGGTAACCAAATCCAATCGAATGACTAACCACCACCTCTATGTGGATGTCTTTCACGTGGACCGTCTCTAACCCAGACCTCTGGAGCTTTTACTGCAAAGACATGCTGCTCTTTTTTTGAATATTTCATAAGCCAATAAATCTAACTTGTCTTCTCTTACAGACTTACTGCTCCTGCTGTGTCTCTCCTTTAATGCTATCGCGTTCTACCCAGCCCTCTACCCATGGGAGGCAACCAGATACAGGGGAGAGTCAGGTTGCACAGCTGATCAGATTGGGTTCAAATTCTGATTCTTCCCTTTTGGTGTGCTTCTCTGATTTTCCAAGATTGTCCAAGATTTTTTTCTTAAAACTCTTCTGAAAGGTGAGAGTGAAGATAGGTGCCAGATCCTGACAGAGTAGATAAACGGGGGCTGAACTGGGATTCGCCTGTACTGCTCCTTTACCCTTAGCCCCTGCATCCAACCCAGAATAAATTCTTCTCTTCTAATTATTTCTGAACTACTCCCTCCTTTTTATCCCTACCACGGTTTTTACTAGCTGTAGCATACACCACTGTAATATTATATTTAATGATAACCTGATTACATCTCTCCAATATAATGCTAATGAAAATCACCCCAAATGAAAATCCGACCATCCACTAATAACAGCTAACACTGACCACCCACTAAATCAAAGGCACTATGCTAAGGACTTTGTATGCTTGTGTTATTTAATCCATCCAACTATTTTGAGGTAGGAAACTAATGAGAAAGTTGAGGCACAAAAAGGCTCGTTTATATGCCCAGCACCATATTTGTTTATACTCTACCTGGCTCCAAATCATATCTGAAGTAGTATACAATGATAAATATCACATGTCAAAGTTAAAATGTCAGTATGAATATTAGGGAAAATAATAGAAATAATAGTATACACACAATGAAAGTACACTCCTTCTATCTCTATCTTTTCTCCTTGTCTTTCTTTTTTTTAATCCTCACCCAAGGATATTTTTCCATTGATCTTTAGGGAGAGTGGAAGAGAGAGGGAGAGCCAGAGAGAAATACACATCGATTGGTTGCCTCCTGCACAAGCTCCAACCAGGGCCCGAGCCTGAAACTAAGGCATATTCCCATATGCCTTGACCAGAATCGAGCCCGGGGCCCCTTCGGTCCGCATGCCAAAGCTCTATCCACTGAACCAAACCGGCTAGGGCTCTCCTTGTCTTTATTCCTCTTCTACCTATTGCCCCACTCAACTCCGCCTCCATCCACCCCAACATTCTGGTTCATTCTCTTCCCCCTCTCGCCTATCTCAGCCAAGAGTACCTTTTCAGAAGACAAGCCCGCCTCTTTCCTCCTTTGCCACTAAATTTATGAGCAGTCATTGTGAAAAAGGAACTCAGAAGCAAAGTCTTAAAGCAGCATGAAGAAACCACAGGCAAAGCAGGAAACGTGCAGTAGGATCTCATTTGCGGTTAGAGGCCTCGCATGACATTTCAAAGACACATAGTGGTACCTATATCTATGTTAAATCCAGGGTCTGACACTTACTAGAACATTACTTAGCTTCTAGAGCCTTCATTTCCTTATCTATAATATGCGTATAAGAGTGTTTATCTCAAAGAGTTGTGATGAGCCCTGACCGGGCATCTCAGTTGGTGATAGCATTGTTCCCATATGCTAAGGCTGTGGGTTTGATCCCTGGTTAGGGCACATACAAGAATCAACCAATGAATGCATCAATAAGTGAAACAAACACAAAAAAATCAATGTTTCTCTCTCTCTAAAAAATCAATTTAAAAAAAGTTGTGATGATTAATTGAAATAATGCATGTAAAATAATTACGAGCCGAACCAGTTTGGCTCAGTGGATAGAGCGTCGGCCTGCGGACTGAAAGGTCCCAGGTTCGATTCCGGTCAATGGCATGTCCCTGGGTTGTGGGCACATCCCCAGTAGGGGGTGTGAGGGAGGCGGCTGATCTATGTTTCTCTCTCATCGATGTTTCTAACTTTCTATCTCTCTCCCTTCCTCTCTGTAAAAAATCAGTAAAATATATTAAAAAAATAAATAAAATAAAATACTTACGAAGTACCATGCCCTCAATAAACTCATTATATGTTAGCACGTGCATACACGCACACACACACACACACACACACTAAAATACCAACTTTTTAGGGGGGAACAATGTGGAGCCACATTTATCTCTGAATCAGGGTGCCTGGGGGATTCATAATTTTGCTCTACACTGAGAAGGTACAAGGCATTTTTGTCATGGATGCAGGGGATTGAATAATGATTCTTTTTATAATCTTACCCTCAAATTATCTAGCTGTGTTTGATCACCTGTCAGTTTGTAGAATAGAAATTGGTCTTCCTTCTTGTTCCTTTATTCTACAGTTATGTGTACTATAGTAAGGCTAAAATATTCTTTCTCTCTCTCTCTGAGATGAGGAAATGGAAGATCCCTTTGTTAAAGATATGAAAATACCTGCCAGTTAACGTAATTTTTAGAGATAGTCGCGGATCAGAGATCAAATAAATCAGAATGACATGAGACTTGAGAAGCAGAGAAAAGGGGGTGGTCAGCTGCCTAGATCCTGGAATCACACGGCCTGAGTTCAATTCCTGGCTCCAATACTTACTGACCATGTAACTTGAGCAAGTGAGCCAGTTTCTCTGTGCTCAGTTTCTTTGTTTTATATAATAAAATTGTTGTTAAAGATAAAATAATACAAAGAATCAGAGTGCTGGGCCTATAAGTATACTCGATACATGTTAGCTATTACTATAGTTATTATAATAACAGCAGCATTTCCCAAAATGTATTTCAATATCCCTTTGATCCAGAGTTTTGGGGAATATTATTAACAGATTTGGTTCAAACAAACAAGGGGACTATGTAGTAAAACAGTATTTTTAAAGAAATCCTGGCTAGCCCTAGCCGGTTTGGCTCAGAGGTTAGAGTGTCAGCCTGCAGACTTACTGGTCTCATGTTCGATTCCGGTCAGGGCGTGTTTGCGAGGCAACCAATTGATATCTCTCTCACATGGATATTTCTCCATCTCTCCTCCTCCCTTCCACTTTCTCTAGAAATCAATGGGAAAATGTCCTCGGGTGAGGATTAACAACAACAACAACAACAACAACAAAAAGACATCCTGGCTTTGTTTAAGGTGGTTTGCTCAAAGTCTTGAACATGGGGAAACGCATTGCGAATCACCAAGAAACATACTGTTAGTCACCAATGGGATATAACATGAAACTGACTCCACCACAGAACCCTTTATTAGAGGTTCCTCTCATCTGAGTGACAGTTTGAACACTTTAGAACATGACAGGCTAATATTATTTGACTTACATGTGGAATCCAATGAGCAAAATAAACTGACGAACAATAGAATCAAAGGCATGGATGGTTACATGGAACAGACTGACAGCTGTCAGGAGAGCGGGTTTTGGGAGCTGGATGAAAAAAGGTGAACAAAGACACACACACATAAAACACATAGACAAAGACAACGGTGTGGTGACAACCAGAGACAAGGGGGGCCGCGGGGAGGTGGAGGCGGGCAAAGCGGGGATAAATGGGGATGGAGAGAAACTGCATTGGGCAATGGGCATGTAATGCAATGTGCAGATGATGGTCTGCTGAGTTGTACACTTGAAACCTGTATGACTTTGTGAACAATGTCACCTCAATAAATTCAATAAAAAAAGAGAAAATGACAGGCTATAGTAGTATTTATATACAAGTGTTAAAGCAACAATTATCTAAATTATAAATCATGTTTTATTCTAATGCTTCAGTATGTTATTCTTGCTTTATAGGAGTGCCAAAACTATCCACAAAGACTGCAACTTCATGTTAAGTTTCTTTCATGAACCTCCCCACCTACACCATAAGCTGATTTAAGAAGAGCTTTGAGCTTGCATCATGCTTATTAACCAGCGCCTTAAATATTGTTGCTACTCGACAAATAGCAGCTGATGCTGGACTAACCTCCCAAAAATGTATAAGGAAAGAAAAACTTTGACCTGATTCTATTTTTCCTAAACAGTATCAGTATTATAAAACTAATTATAAAACTCACCTCCCCTCCATTAACAAAATCCAGAACAAAATAAAGCTTTTCAGTTGTTTGGAAGGAATAATGTAATCCAACCAAAAATGGATGCTTCACATTTTTCAAGAGCACATTACGTTCAGCCATAATATGTTTTTGCTGTTAAAAAAAAAAAAAGGTAAAGGATCAACTTGTATTATACACAATAAAATAGCTCTGTTAATTGAAAAGAGGGGCTTAGGAGAAACAAAGCTCTTTTATTTCACCTCTCTTCTGTTGAGAACGATTTTTTTCTGTAACACTTTGACAGCATAAAATTTTCCATCCAGTTTCCGTTTTGCAAGAAGAACCTGTTTTAATTAAAGATTGTGCAGACTATTAGAAATGTCAATACTTTAACAGCAATAACTCACTTGTAAATAAATCAATACTTAAATTGTATAAAAAATCTACAGAAGACCTAGATAATATAAGGTTGTTTTGAAAAATACTAAATTTATTTCTATAAACCCACTTTTCCTTAAGCATTTCAATAAAACAAAAAAGGACGATCAGCCCTCACTGGTTTGGCTCAGTGGATAGAGCGTCGGCCTGCGGACTGAAAGGTCCCAGGTTCGATTCCGGTCAAGGGCATGTACCTTGGTTGCGACCACATCCCCAGTTGGGGGTGTGCAGGAGGCAGCTGATTGATGTTTCTCTCTCATTGATGTTTCTAACTGTCTGTCCCTCTCCCTTCCTCTCTGTAAAAAACCAATAAAATATATTTTAAAAAAAAAAGGACGATCATTTGAATAGCCAGGCACCATTTCTTTGTGTGCTGATGTTTGAGATTTTTACTAAAGTTAAGTACCAGAATCTATACTGTTGTAGATCTTTATGCCCGTGTGTGTGTGTGTGTGTGTGTGTGCGCGCGCGTGCCAACCATGAGTTGAAGAGTGTCCTTAGAAAATATTGAGGCTATAAACTTCATGGCTACATTAAAAAAAAAAAAAAAGGAGAAGAAAACGGTTTCTAGATGATCAAAATAAATTTTTGTTTTAACTTTTAGGTTTCTCTTAGAGGCTTCACATTAGGAAGAGTTGAGAGGAAGAGGCGCCGTGGATAGCTGAGTTGGGTTGTGTGCACTTTCAAGGACCTGAAGAAACGTAAGAGGATTTGGCCTCAGAACACAGGTAGACATATACTCAAGATTCTGCAAGTAATTTTAAGAAATTCAGGATGACCCACAAGTTGTGTAACTATTCAACAACACATTCCCAAGCTTTCTAAGATGATCTGGCACAACAGTGACACTGCTGGGCCTTCCTTCCCTTCTTGTACATCTGTGGTGTTCCTCATCCAACCTATAACCCCAGTCGAAGCATGAGAAACATATCTGACACATCCCAACAGAGGGACCTCTTCAATATACCTAACCAGAGCTTCTCAAACCCATCAGTCCTCACAACCAAGGAAAGTCTGAGAAACTATCACAGCTAAGAGGAACTTAAGGAGCACACACAACTAAATGTAATGTGGTATGGTGGATGAGATCTGGAACAGAAAAAGGTCAAAACTAACAAAACCTAAATAAATGATAAACTCTAGTTAATAATAATGCATCAGCATTGGTTCATGAATTAGACAAATGTACCATACTAATGTGAGATGTTGATAAAAGGGCAAATTGTGGGTGTAGACTAGGGGCTGGTTTGGGAAATCTCCGAACTTTCTGTATTTTTCTCTTTACTCAGTTTTTCTGTAAATCTAAAACTGTTTTTAAAAAATGATGTCTATTAATTTGAAAAAAAGTGTTTGTTATTAAAAAAGATGTAGTCAAAACGTCTTCAGGGTGAAATTGGCCGGCGCTCAATTGGTGGCACTCTTCTCATGCCCCATTCTTTTGTTCTCCGCAATATTTGACTCTGTTGAACGTTCTTTCTTTCTTACACTTTTCCTTTTCTCAGCACCTCACACCTGCCTGACTTTTCCTTCTCTATTTTCATTGGTTCGTCTTCAAGTACATTCTGAGATAGTAATTCAAATAATGTGGCAATTAGGAAGTACTGATTTCCTTCAAGTGGGTATTTTTCCCCCCATTGTAGATTTGGAGAACAGACAAATGGTTAACAAACAAATATGCAGGCCTAGCCAGTTTGGTTCAGTGGAGAGAGCACCAGTCTCTGGACTTAAGGATCCCAGGTTCGATTCCACTCAAGGGCAAGTACCTCGGTTGCAGGCTAGATCCCAGCCCCACCGGTTGGGACAAGTGAGGGAAGCAACCAATCAATGTGTCTCTCTCACATCGATGTTGCTCTCTCTCTCCCCTCCCTTACACTATGAAAAGCAATAGAAAGTTATCCTTAGTTTAGGATTAACAACAACAACAACAACAACAACAAAAATGTGCAAATGAAAAAGTGAAACCAAGACCACTCGCTGGAGAAAAGATAAGAATAAGTGTTAGCCCTAGCAGGCTTGGCTCAGTGGATAGAGCGTTGGCCTGCGGACTGCGGGGTCCCGGGTTCGATTCCGGCCTAGGGCACATGCCTGGGTTGCGGGCTCGATCCCCAGTGTGGGTGTGCAGGAGGCAGCCAATCAATGATTCTCTCTCATCATTGATGTCTCTCTCTCTCTCTCTCTCCCTTCCTCTCTGAAATCAATAAAGAAATATTTTTTTTAAAAAAAGAATGTTAATTGCCATTATTTATTTTAGCTTATCATATATATTTTTCAAACATATTGTGAATTTGCATTTTTCTGCTTTTCCTTCTTTTTGTATTCTGTTTCTCTTTGTTTTACGGCTCTTTGTTGGTTTCCAATCATTTTGCAAGATTTTTAATTTTTATTAACCAACATATAAGTAAAATAACTCACAAATCATTATGGTTCAGTAAATTATTACAAAATGAGCACATTATGTAAGCACTATCCAGGTCAAAAGGTAAAACATTTTGGGTAGCCTGAATTCCCCACTTTGGCCCCATTCCAGAAACTACTCATCCCTGTCTTCCTCAAAGGTAACCACTATCTTAACTCATAATAACACCAGTAATTTGATATTATCATTTAAAAATTTTTAAAATTAGAATCATGTAGCATTGTCTCTGACTAACTTCTTTCACTCTAAATTATCTAATACCCATTCAAGTTGTGGCATGTCATATAGTTTTTAAAATTTTTATTGCTATGTAGACTACTGCATTACACAATTTAACCCACTCTTTTGTTGACAGACATTTAAATTGCTGATGAATAACGATGTTATGAATATTCTGGCACATACCTCTCCTAGTGCATATGTGCATGCATTTCTGTTGGATGTAAAGCTAGGAGTAGAACCAATGTGTCATAGGTATTGCATAATTCAGCTTCAATAAATAACAAGTTTCAATCAGCATAAAGAAAACACAATGTAGAGGAATAAATATCTAATTAAAGATGTGTAATTAGGTCCTTGAAAGTGCATGCAACCCAGCCCATTATAGAACACTATGAAACAGTCCTGAGAAAAAATAAACATGAACTAAATTAACAAAAGGATATACCATGGTCACTGATTAGAAGACTCAGTAATGTGAAGATGACAATTCTTGCCAAATTGACCTAAAGACTCAATGCAATTCCAATAAAAATCCAACAGAATCTTGTGGAAACTGGCATGATAATTTCTAACATTTACATAGATATGCAGAGAGCTAAGAATAGCTTCATGAAGAAGAATGAGGAGGGAGGACTGGTTCTGTTGGAAATCAAGCTACATTTGTCAGGACAATGTGGTATTGGTGCAAGGATAGACAATGTGGTATTGGTGCAAGGATAGACAGACAGACTACTGCAACACAATACACAATCTAGAAACAAATATAAACATAAAATCTACAAGTAGATCCACGCACACATGGACACTGGAGATGTGATGAAGGCTACCCTGCAGATCAATGGGGAAAGAACAGTCTTTGCAATAAATTATGTGGGATACATTAGCTATCCACAGGGAACAAATAAACTGTGACCCTACATCTCACATTGTATGCAAGAACCCAATCCTGGTAGACTCTAAACATGAAGTTTCCAAAAGATAATGCTTTTTGTTATTAATGACAGAGTATCTCTACCATCTCAAGGAACTGTGAGCATTTTGAGAGCGGATCTATTTCTATCTTTCTATTGCCCAGCATGTAGCAGGTGGTCAAAATATATATTTCTGAGTTAATGAACACACATGGGTTTAACTGCATGGTCACAGTTTCTAGTATCTAGGGAACTCAGAAAACAAGCCAGAGATACAGAAAGCTACGAATATAGCAAACTATAATTAAATACATACATATTTATTTTGACTGCAGATTGAAGTATAATGCAAAAAAAAGCATTTAAATATATTTTATGATTCTGATAAACCATCTATGACACTTGTGGCCTTGTCTTTCCCTGGTGGCCACACTGTCAAGTTAAATGGTTCAGTTGACACTCACTTCTGAGGAGAAGTAGGGTCTTTCCAGAGCCTTTCTCCCCCAACTATTTTTTACACAGCTGCTCACTTTTGTCCTTCTGCCTCAGCATCAATAGACCTCTTCAGAGTAGCAATTACTGACCCCCCCACTCTCCACCCCCACTGCCTACAGTTTTCTGTCACTTTGCTCTATTCTTCAATTCTTTCACAGCCCCATTACTACTTACAATTATCTATTTTATTGCATATTTTTATTTGACTATTTTCCCCACTAGGTTGTAAGCGTCACAAAGGCAGTAACCATGTCAGTTTTGTTCAGTATTATCTAAACAGGGCCCAGGACAACGCGTGGCACATAGTAGCTGCTCAACATATACTTTTTGAACAAGTGAATTTTATGTTAGAATTTAAGTAGATGCCTTATCTCCCTAATTATTCTGTCAGTACTCTGAAGGTAGAGAAAGCATCTTAACTCCATGCCCTGCATACCAACAGGCTTTGTGGCCTGGCTAGTATAAAGCATGCATTCCTTAAGTACTTATTTACTGAAGGAGAAAATAAACACACTCTTACCTTGCCAAAGCTGCCTTTTCCAATAACTTTTAAGAAATCAAAGTCTGTTGGTTTAGCACTGAAATAAATGAACGACAAGAATGAGCCTCCAAGAAAATGGACAAATGTTAACTTTTAAACATTTCTCAGCACATTCTTTAATAAGTAAATGTTGGGTACAAAACACTTCAGCATGATGACTTCAACTTTCACACTAGTGGTAACTCATTTTTAATACAAAATAGGCAATAATAAGAAATAATATCTACTTTCTAACTTGATATTTTATAACATTATGCCTTGCTAAGTTCTGCTTAAAAGAAACTTCAGTAATAGCCCCATTAGAAGAAAATGACACATATATCTTTGAACTCAAAGTAGCTTCTATCTAACCCAATTTTATTAACTGTAAACCTCACCGATGTTATTAATGAAGAAAATGAATAACTGTATAAATTAGTAATACCTTCCAAGGATTTTCTAGTTTGGTAATTCTTCCGAAAAGGAAGTTAATAGCTAAAACACCTAGTAAAGTCACTAAGAAAAATTTCTGATGGAGAAAAAAAGTCATCACAGTGCTTTGCATATATATCACTTATTATACATTACAGATAAAGACCTCTCTCTGCTTATTCTCAAAAGCGGTAATATAGGAAAGCCAGGAGTAGAGAAGCCAGAGGGAATGCTAACATTGTCCTATTTCTACTATCCTGTTAGTAAAAAAAAGCATTGGCTGAATGTAGGCAAAGCACAGGGCAGCAGAAAGTTGAGCATAAGCAGCCAGCAGAGCTGTTTCCTTCAACACAGTCTGAATTGCCAAGTTGTACTAGGGAAAGGTTAATGACTCTAGTTAGAATCTACATTTCCTTCAATTCATCATTGAGAGAAATAGTATATTCAAACATGAGAGTAACACCAAGTCTAGGTTAAATAGTAACAGGTGAAGGTTAGGGAAATAAATACTTAACTAAGCTTAGATTTTTTTCTTCTTCAAGAACGTGCTCTTTGGACTAGTTATTTTGTTCTTTAATGATATGCCGAGATACAGAAATAATTTTTTAAACAAATATAATAGTGAAAAAACATGCAAATCCCTCATGTGAAACACACTAACTGAGGCCCCATTGGTAACTGCTGGTGATAAACCCTAATTGAAAGCAAATTTCTGTGTTTGTGCTGCCTGACCAACTCAGTGCTATGATGGCAGTAAAATGCTCAAAACCAAACTTCCTCTTCTAGTCACCCTCCCATTTCTGTGCTTTCTTTTGCAGCAAAACTCAAGTAAGTGGCCTAAACTCATTGTCCATACCTGCTGTCCTCTCCTCTAGCTCTGTCTTGAACCCTTTCCTGCCGGGGTCTTTGTACCCACCACACTGCTCCTAACAATCACCAGGGACTTATTGAAGCCAGTGGTCGATTCCCCATCTTCATCTTACCTGCCCTATTAGCAATATTAACTGAGTCAATGACTCCCTCCCTCCTCGAGAAACTTTCTTCACCTGATTGTGTGACACTACAGTCCTTGTTTTCCTCCTTCCTTACCACTTACTCTTTCTTTAGTGTCCTTTCCTGGCTCCTCCCTGACCTCCCTGTAATGCCGAAGTGTCCCATGACCCAATCCTTGGACCATGCCTCTTATCTGTCTATACTCACTGTTTAAGAGGACCAAAAGGGTGAGGGAAGCGTAGTACCCTGGGATAAAAGATAGAATACTTTAGAATGAGTCCAATAAGGCTGTGAAAATCATTGTAAGAAAGGATAGCAACGGTCCTTCTCTAACCCAGGCAGACATCACTAAACTGTCCAGGGCACTCCTCGAAGCCAGGAAGTGGCCTCGGAATCCTTTGTATTCGGCGTTTCTGGGCATTCCCTTCCAATGAATCGCTACAGTTGACACTCAAGACAGCGTCTATATTTACCACTCCTGGTGTTCCTCAAAATGTTCCTCCCGGGGTCAATTACATACGGGAGAAACTGCATAAAGAATGGTTGGCAGCCTTTAATAAACTAATACGTGTCATGAGTACTCTGGAGCAAGCTGGCTACCAACCAGGGTTGCACCAATGACACTGAGTACTAGGAGAGTATCAATTAGGTCTGCACGGATGCTTCTGTCGGGACACTTCCCAAGTACCCCCAGGACTTATGGACCCCTGGGAAATACAGTCTACGGATTTTACCCATACACATGCACAGAAAGAGAGAGAGAGGCAGAAAGAGACAGAGAGGGAGAGGGAGAGGGAAGTAACAAAAGTGAAATAGAACCAGATCAATAATCTGTGGGTTAAAAACGCCTCAGAGCTCTACCAAAGCAACGGAAAGCTAGAGCAGTAAGTTAGGCAAGCATAGGGCAGTATTATAGTCACTGTAGCTACGGTTATATCTCACAGCCTTCCAGTTAAACTGGTCAAATTATATCTAAACATTCACATTAAAAAAAATAAAAGATCCTCCTAGAACTTAAAGGATTGTTGGAAACAAATCAAACCTACTGAGGATTTCCAGACGGTCCCAGGTTGATGTTCTGTGAGGTAGAGTGTAGCTGTTGAAGTGGGAAAAAACACACATTACAGTTCATCATGGAGCTTCCACGGTCAATGAATGTTTTCCTAACTTCACCAGATGTTTGATGTGAAAGAAACCTAAAGCCCTCATTCTAAATAAACGTATAGACTTATTTGGAAACATCCATAATCATTTTTATGACGTATTTCAAGAGCAGTTATAAGGAAAAGGGTAAGGCAGAAACCAAGCTCCAAGTGGAAAATGAATGAAGTAAACTGGGGAAAGCACCGTGGAGGATCGTTTTTACATTTAAAGACCTGGTTGTGGGGGAGGAGATTATCTGGGAACTTATATGCATATATGCACTGCCCATGGACACAAACAAGAGTCCGGTGAAGGCCTGGGAGGGGCGGGTGCGAGGTGGAGGGGGTCAGTGGGGAAAAGAAAATAAAACTTAGGGGACAGCGGTAATACTATCAACAATAAAGGTTAAAAAAAATAACCTGATTAAAAATGGCTTTTGGTTTTCAAATTTTCCAATAAAGCTGGATACTTTTACTAGAGCCTTATGTAATTACTAGAGGCCCGATGCACGAAATTCGTGCAAGAGTAGGCCTTCCTTCCCCTCTGGTATCCAGGAGCCAGGCTTCCCTGGCAGCCCCGGCTTCGTCTGGAAGGTCATCTGGGAGGACATCTGGCCTAATTAGCATATTATGCTTTTATTATTATAGAAGATTTTTCATGTAAGCTATAGATATGAAATAAGCTTTTAAAAACTTATTTTTAAAAAAAAAATATTTTTATTGATTTCAGAGAGGAAGGGAGAGGGCCAGAGAGACAGAAACACTAATGATGAGAGAGAATCACCGATTGGCTGCTTCCTGCACACCCCACATCGGGGAGGGAGCCCGCAACCTAGGCAATCGAACTCCTGGCTCATAGGTCAACGCTCAACCACTGAGCCACACCGGCTAGGCTAAAAACTTCTTTAAGTTAATTATAACCAATGAATTTTATCTAAGCAATTTCATATTAGAGACAAATATCATATACATTTCACTTAAATTCATTTGAAACTTATGAACAATCTCCAGAATATAAGCTATTTTAAAAAATAAAGAACAAAAGTTCTGATGTATAATAGTATGTTTCTTATGAAACAACAACACTGGCACCAATTTTTAGTTACAAATCAAATTAATTTTCTAACAATACCTTTATGTGAAAAATCTTTCTGTAATAAAAGGTCAATCCCCCCAAAAAAGAGGGAAAAAAAGGTCAACCCCAGAACACAAAAATATAAGGAACCATAACAGTCAAGCACAAGACAAAAGAAAATGGTTCATGAAATGAGAATTACCTTATTGTGGCATAATTATAACATAGAGGAATCCCCCTCCCCAGTTTTATTGAGATATACTTGACAAGCAGCACTGTATAAATTTAGTTTAAGGTGTAGAGCATATTAACCTGACTTAATACTATGATTACGTTTACATATTATAGTGTCCCATAGAATAGGATAACATAATCCGAACTAAATTGTAATTTCAATACATTTATTCTTTTAATGATATGCAGAGAATTGGATCATGTTTCCATTCAATAAATTTTTCTTAGATGCGGGAAGCGAATTTAGTAAGCGTGGATTAAATAGTAACATGAACAACTTGTCCTCTGAAGTATATTAACATGTAGTAAGATTTTATTATTTGGCAATAGTTTTTCCAGTGGAGCACATTTTTGAAATAATAATGAAAATTACTGGAGTGCATAATTAGGTAACTTTTAACTCTACCTACTATTTTTATTTTTAACCAACACCATTTATCCCCTTACGCCCTCCTCCACCTCCACCCACCGCCCTCCTCTCCAAAATGACCACACTGTTGTCTGCATAAATGAGTTCTCGCTTCTTTTTTCTTCAATCCCCCAGCTCCCTGCCCAGCTATTTTTAAATATTACTTCTAATCACTAAACTGAGGGTGAGGTATAATTTATTAACAGAGTGAGCTCTAATCAAGAACATGCTTCTTTACCTCTCTTGACCTCTATTTTTCTCTCTATAAATAAGGGGTAGGTCCATATGCCTTCTAAGATATTATCTGGCTATTAATTTATCGACTTAAAGGTCCTAACTTGTAACTATTAATAAGGAGCTACAAGTACAAGACAAGTATAGCTTGTTTCCTTTTTAAAGGAGATTCTTTTTATCAGTATTTTAAAACTACAAGATATCCTAGTCTAAGTTTCAGATTTTATGGATGAAAAAAGAAAAAAGAAACAAAATTCAGATCTAAAGCTAATAGTGACAAAATAGAAGCCAGGAGCCAGGAATCTTTCAGTTGGTTCTTTCTTTTATTCTTTTTTTTTTTTTTTTTTTAAGAGAGAGAGAGGAAGGGAGAAGGAGAGAGAAACACTGATGTGAGATCAAAACACTGACTAGCTGCCTCCTGCATGCCCCTACCAGGGACCCAGCCCACAACCAGACATGTGCCCTCACAGGGAATCGAACCAGCAACCTTTCGGTGCACAGGACAACACCGAACCAACTGTGGGCTCAGTTGGTTCTTAACCAGCTGTCTCTTATAGCAAGGTAAGACATTCTCTAATTGACCTAAACCTACATACTCTCAACATGATTAGCAAGTAAAACATGGGAAACCATGGTTATATAGATTTTTGTCCTTTAAAATATTTTTCAACAGTTTCATCCTTTTCAATTAATAACATATACTCACAGTGGGAAAATATGGAAAAACTAGGAAGACTTCTTTAAAAAAAATCCATAACTTTACCAACAGATAATTTTGTAAATTTTTAACAGTAATTTCATATACTGTAGTCGTTGCATAACTTTTAAAAACTGGCTATAATCACACTGTGTGAATATGCATATAAAATGTTATACCCTGATTTCATCTAATAGCATGTCAAAACTTAAAATATATCTTCAAAAATATTTTTTAAATGTAAAATGTATAGAGACATACTATTTGACTGATGAATGTTTAACGTGATTTTACTTTTTCATTATAAATCATACTAAACCAAACATCTTTGTCTTTTTTCCATAGGAAGGATTTCATTTCCCTCAACTCCCGAAGGACATGAATATTTATGTCTGATTCATATTGCCAAATTGCTTTCCAAAAGAGTTGCATAAATTTATAATGATACCAGTAATGCCCAAGGGTGCTCACTGTACCTTACCTTCTCAGTCCTACAGTATTTTATTTCCGTTACATTTTAGTAAACTTGATAGAGAGAAAAAAAAATCTCATTTAAAAATACTCTTCTATTGGTATCAAGGCTGAACATTTTCCCATACATTTATTTACAAACAGTATTTCTTCATGTTCCTTTTTCTTTTACCTACTGGGATCTTAAATATTCTTTTGAAAAATCCATTTATATGTGCTTTTTATACAGACACTACCTCTTTAGTTACAAATGCTTTCCAGTTACTCTTTGTATTAGTCGCAGAAGTATAAGATGAAAAGATTCTTTTATGTTGTCCTAGGAGCAACCATGTCACAGATGAAAAAGTTAAACCTGTTCTCTTAACTGAGCATCCCCTTGGGGTCTCAGAGAAACATTACTACTTTCCAGCAGTTGCAAAAAAGGAATACATCTATTATCAAATGAAGGTTCTAGCTGTGGGGCAGTCATGTTCCAACTCATAATATTATCTTTTAAGTTACAAAAAGAGAACCATGACATAAATAAAAGAAATTATAAAAACAAAGATGCCCTCCAACCCAAAACCTCTGATTTGCATGTATATATTTTAATAAACAATCCTGAATTATAAAGGTATTATCATATTTATAACACTTGTAATTATAACTGGAATTGCTAATAATCCGTTAAGTAACATTATTATAATTTACCTTTCCCAGATAATTTTTAAAGTAAATGCAGAAAACAGCTTCGTAATAAGGCATGAACTTACTATATTTATCATAATTTATTTTAAAAAATAAAAATATCTGCTTAGCCAGTGTAGCTCAACGATTGAGCACTGACCTATGAATCAGGAGGTCACGGTTTGATCCCTGGTCAGGGCACATGCCTGGGTTTCGGGCCCAATATCCAGTAGGGGGTGTGCAGGAGGCAGTCAATCAATGATTCTCTCTCATCATTGATGTTTCTATCTCTCTCTCCCTCTCCCTTCCTCTCTGAAATCAATAAAAATATATTTAAAAAATAAAATCAAAATAAATAAAAAATTAAAATATCCTATTCAAGTATAGTGATGAAGAAGCAGGCAAATAGTGACCAAAAAAAATCAGATGTTAAGTGAAGAGAGTGGAATACAAAACTGTATACACTATATAATTAGAATTAAGATAATTTTGAAAAATCACTGTATGTTAAGAGAAGATTAGAAAGAAAAATCACTAAAATGTTAAAAATTACTTGGGTCTGATAATATGGGTAATACTTCCCTTTTTACTATTTTCAAAACTATTTAATTAACCTGTATTACTTTTTATTATAAAATGTGCTCATTTATAAATGTTATAATAGTGGTCAGTAAGAAGTATACACATTTGTTTTTATGTATTCTACAGAACAGAAAATTTACAATGGATAAAATGACTTTGTTTTAACTATATGTCCTAAAGTTGCCAATAATTTCATCTTTGGGGAGTGGTATTTTTTCTGTTAAAAAATACATTCCCTTTTAACTACCTTCTCAGTACTTCTTTCATCCTCATCTTCAGATGGGTCTGACTGGTGTTTCGGACTGTCCATTTGAAGGAACGCTCTGACATCTGGACTAAAAACAAAATTTAAATTTATTATGACTTTGAAAGTATTTCTACAGCTTTTCTCCCTTTTAAAATGAAAATAAAAATAATACCATTTATAGTAATAAAGCCAAACAAAATCTATTAATATTCATTATTATAAAACAAATAGCAAGTTTTTTTAAAAAAAAAAAATAGAGAATCCAACATGGGTAAAGACATAGTCAGTTCATAGAAGACAAAACCCAAACGGTAAGAAAATTTATCAAGATGCCTAACTTCAGTAATAGTATAAGAAATACAAATTAAAATAATAATGAGATGCCACTTTATGTCCATTAAATGGCAAAAATTAAAAAAATAGAGAACCCAACATGGATAAAGGCATAGTCAGTTCATAGAAGACAAAACCCAAATGGTAAGAAAATTTATCAAGATGCCTAACTTCACTAATAGTATAAGAATTATGTATTACAGAAGTGTACACTTTATAATT